TCCCCTACCAGACCTGGGGAAGGGTGCGTGAGACCCCCCCAAGAAGGGGCCAAAGATGACAGAGAGCCCTGGGGAGACTGGGAGGCCAGGAAAAGATTGAATCCGAGAGGAAGGCTGATGGGGTGGAGTTGGGGGGTCGGTGGAGGACAGCCACATGGGGGGTGGGATAGAAGGGGGCTGAATCCAAATCCTTGGATGGGTGGGGCAGTCAAGGCAAGCTTGGAAGGGCCAGGATTAGGGGAGGAGATGTTTGTTCTTTGGGGGTAGGGGGGATGTTTTACTTTCCTTCCCTTTCTTCCCCCGCCCAGCATGCATGGCGCTAAGGAGAGGTGGGACCCAGCTGCAGTGGGGACCCCACGATGGACGGCTTGGCCCTCTCCTTACCCGCGTGGCTGCCTGGTGCTCTCACTGCCCCGCAGCGGTGATCTCTGTTGAAAGGAAGCGTTTCTTGCCGCGGGTTGGGTCCCGTTTTCCCAAGTCTCCGAGTCTAGGGGATACCACGGCCCTTCTGGCCTGAGCGCAATTGCAGCGTATGTAGCTTGTCGTTTGTGCCCCACTGACAATTCAGACCGTCCCTTTCCCCCAAGCGCCCGTGTGGGCAGCAACGTGCCAGCAGGAGAACATCTTCCGCCATGTCGCGGGACAAGGGCGCCCTGTCCCTTTTTGGGTTCAGGGTGCAGGAGGGGACTCTGGGCTGGGGCAGGTGGTTGGTGTGGAGGAGGGGGTGAGGGCTCTGGCTGGGGGTGCGGGCCTTGGGGTAGGGCTGGGGATGAGAGGTTTGGAGTGTGGGAGGGGGCTCAGGGCTGGGGCAGGGGGTTGGGGTGGAGGAGGGGGTGAGGGCTCCGGCTGGGGATGTGGGCCTTGGGGTGGGGCTGAGGATGAGGGGTGGAGGAGGGGGTTGGACTGTGGGAGGGGGCTGAGGCAGGGGTTGGAGTATGGGAGGAGGTGCGGGGTGCAGACTCCAGGAGGGCATTTGGGTGTGGGAGGGGCTCAGGGCTGGGGAAGGGGGTTGGGGTGCACGTGGGGGTGCAGGATCTGGGAGTTAGGATGCGGGGTGAGGTGCTGACCTGGGGCAGGGGGTTGGGGTGCAGGATCTGGGAGGGAGTTAGGATGCGGGGGGAGGTGTTGACTTGGGCAGGGGGTTTGGGGTGCAGGCTCTGGCCGGGCGGCACTTACTTCAGGCGGCTTTGGGTCGGCAGTGCAGCGGTGCTAAGGCAGGTTCCCTGCCTGCCCTGGCTTCGCACTGCTCCCACAAGTGGCCATGTCCGGCCCCTAGGTGGAGGGACCAAGGGGGATCTGCGCAGTGCACGCTGCCCGCACCCACAGGCGCTTCCCCCGCAGCTTCCATTGGTCGTGGTTCCCGGCCAATGGGATCCGCGGAGCTGTGCTGGGGGTAGGGGCAGTGTGCGGAGCTTCCCTGATCACCCCTGCTCCTAGGGGCAGCAGGGACATGCTGGCTACTTCCGGGAGCTGGACCTGACTCTAGCTTTCCCCCACAGCAGGGGGAGCCAGCGCTCGCGGCTCCAGCCCCGTGGGGGGGCAGGCACCGAAGCTTGGGGCTTCCGGCCTGCAGCGCGGAGACTTGCCGCGGACCGGATGAAATGAAGCAGCGGGCCGGATGCAGGCCGCGGACCATAGGTTCCTCACCCCTGGCTTATGTCGATGTAACTTACATCATTCAGGGGTGTGAAAAAACCAACCCCCTGAGCTATGTAAGTTACATCAACTTAAAGGGGTGTCTGCATCCTGCTATGTCGGCGGGAGCTAATCAGAAAGAATGGGTGACGGGAGACAGCTCTGAGTCAGGAAAGATCGGCGTGCTGGTGCCAGAAGAATGACAGAGAATTTGAGAAAGGCAGCTGTGCCCAGAGACACAGATCACAGGGTTGTCTACACTGCAAAGTGAAGTCGACATCAGGCAGTTTACGTCCATCTAACGATGGAGGTGTACACCCTACAATGCTCCTCGCGCCGCTGTGGTTTGCCTGCTAAGCCAACATAGTAAAACCACCTTGCCAAAAGGCGTAGCGCTTAGGGCAGTGGTTCTCAACCGATTGATCATTGTGGGCCGCATATGTGTTACCTGGGCCGCCGATTGAGAACCACAATCGGGGAGGGGAGAACCGCCCCCCCCCCACAGACCCCTCTGCCCAGCGCCCCCACCCCGAGTTCCCTCCACAGAGTGGGGCCAGAAGCAGACCCCGCTGAGGGGCTGGGTGGCAGGGCGGCCCCAGACCCCACGGCGTGGCAAGGCAGTGCAGCCCCAGCGGCTCCGGACCCAGCCACGTGGGCCCTGCAGCCTTTAGCACGCAGGTGTTTTTTCACACCCTTGAGCGACAAAAGTTTGGTCGATGAAAATGTCAGTGTAGACATAAAAAGAACAGGAGTACTTGTGGCACCTTAGAGACTAACAAATTTATTAGAGCATAAGCTTTTGTGGGCTACAGCCCACTTCTTCGGATGCATATAGAGTGGAATATATATTGAGGAGATATATATACACACATACAGAGAGCATGAACAGGTGGGAGTTGTCTTACCAACTCTGAGAGGCCAATTAAGTAAGAGAAAAAAACTTTTGAAGTGATAATCAAGATAGCTCAGTACAGACAGTTTGATAAGAAGTGTGAGAATACTTACAAGGGGAGATATTCAATGTTTGTAATGACTCAGCCATTCCCAGTCCTTATTCAATCCTGAGTTGATTGTATCTAGTTTGCATATCAATTCCAGCTCAGCAGTCTCTCGTTGGAGTCTGTTTTTGAAGTTTTTCTGTTGTAAGATAGCCACCCGCAGGTCTGTCATTGAATGGCCAGACAGGTTAAAGTGTTCTCCCACTGGTTTTTGAGTATTATGATTCCTGATGTCAGATTTGTGTCCATTAATTCTTTTGTGTAGACATAGCTTCAGTGACCCTTACAGTCTAACTGGGTAAAAGGTTATACACCTTGTCTCCTCAAGTAGTTTTCCTTTTAATAGAAACGGACTTTGAAGCTACTCTAAATAAGTTCCATTTGAAATACAAAAAAAAAAAAAAAAAAAAAAAAATCTATACTGGGCCAATATTCTCTGATATATTATTTCTCCCACACCCCAACCTTTGGAGTGGGGTTTTACATCAGAAATCCTTCTGCTAAAGATAGTAAATTACATTAATAAACTTGTCAGGATTAGCCACCACTTCCTGTATTACTAAGAAAACAAAAACCAAGACAACTTTCAATTTTCCAATATAATTCAGGTGATCACATAATTAGTCTCTTACTCTTTAACCCATAACTTCACCTTTAATTTCCTTTTCAGTGGTGTAGCCCATAGGGCTGGCCTGCTGGTTGCTTTGATATCCTGCCTTTATATATTGGTTTGCTGTTTGTTTTGTTATATTTAGTTTATATTTTTGTATTGGATTATTCTATTATGGTTGGCTGTAATGTGAGGCTCCAGCTGGCCTGTATTTTGTATCATTAGCTTAAGTAAATTAGCTTAAGTTTGGCTCATTAATTAAGCTCATTAATTTGGCACTTGTTCCAAGGAACGTGGCCATGCACCAGCCTTTGTAACCTGTGCAGACACTTCCCAAGCACTTGAACCAATTTCACACTGGTTTAGGTAAAACATAAAACAGATTTATGAACTACAGACAGATTTTAGGTAATTATAAATAACAGGCATAGAGATCAGAATTAGTTACCTAAGGCCTGGTCTACACTAGGAGTTTATGTCGAATTTAGCGCCGTTACATCGAATTAACTCTGCACCCGTCCACATCACGACCCTATTTAGTTCGACATAGAGGTCTCAAAGTCTCCAATAAATCTGAGTTACATGCTGTCAAACTAAATTAATAAAATTGGGTGACCAAACAGCCTTCAGGAAACAGAGAAACCCACATCGCAGAGAGGTAGACTACATGACAATGAAAGTGTCAAGTGGAATTCCAGAGCAGATTGCATCTGATGACTCAGAATCAGGAGAAGACATTCTCCCACGACATTCTCCTCTGATCCATTCAAACCTGCTTCACTCAGCACGGTCTCTTTATTGAGTTATGTTATTTACAAAAGTTTTAGCATCCTAACAGCCTCATAATGGGGGGGGGGGACAGCCAACCTTCCCAAAGGTGGCTTGGCCAATAGGTGGAAACTGGGACTTAAACTCCAAATGATCCCATTGCATTTGGGATCCATTTGAATTCCCCTTCCAGGTCTTCGACACTTTCTTCGGCAGCCATGGTGACTCTGATTAAAGAAGTCAAAACATCATCTCCAAGCACAGACAGCTGAGAACACTGCATCACATGACACTTTGAGAGGTGGAGGGATAGAATATAAACTCTGCATGGCTCAGACAGGAGGTAACAGTTCTGGAACGATGGGGAAGGAGGGAATCTCTGAGTCACACCATCTACATCCAGTGTCACAGAGACTGAAATGACACTTTTTTCCCTGCCCCTGCTCCTCTTCATTTAAATATAATGAAAAAAGGTCCAAAAATAACTGCAGTGCAGCATAACCCAGAGCAACGTGAGAACAACTGGGAACGATACAATTTGTATCATTGGTGACACAAATAACTTGGCAAAAGGAGGAACAGTATAAATGTGACAAGTATCAGAGGGGTAGCCGTGTTAGTCTGGATCTGTAAAAGTTGCATCCGACGAAGTGGGTATTCACCCACGAAAGCTCATGTTCCAATACGTCTGTTAGTCTATAAGGTGCCACCGGACTCTTTGCTGCCAGTATAAATGTGATTCTCCTGGTTTCCTGGAAGGATGGACCCACTTCCATTACTCATGGGACAATGGAGTTGATAGTAAGGACAACCGGGTCCAGCCCAAAACAGGGCAAACTACAAAACTGCAAAAGGCAAAAATGGGCAACACTTTTGGACAAGCTGAGGGATAATGGTGGTGCAAATGGTTCAAACAGCCTTAAAGGTTACTACATGGGAATTAGGAAAACTATTAAAGAAAATAAAAGTTTTGATAGATCTAGAGGTTTTTATGGTGTTTAGGTCCCTTGCAGATTCTGTGATGTCTAGTAAGGGCTGAGCTCCGAGTGAAGCTTTTCCTGCACTCACAGCATTCATAGGGTCTCTCTCCCGTATGGATTCTGTGATGTCTAGTCAGGGCTGAGCTCCGAGTGAAGCTTTTCCCGCACTCAGAGCATGCATAAGGTCTCTCTCCCGTATGGATTCTCTGATGCGTAGTAAGCTCTGAGCTCAGAGTGAAGTTTTTCCCACACTCACAGCATTCAAAGGGTTTCTCTCCCGTGTGGATTCTTTGATGCCGAATGAGGTGCGACCTCAGAGTGAAGCTTTTCCTACACTCACAGCATACATAGGGTTTCTCTCCTGTGTGGATTTTCTGATGTATAGTAAGGTGTGAGCTCTGAGTGAAGGTTTTTCCGCACTCACAGCATTCGTAGGGTCTTTGTCCTGTGTGAATTCTGTGATGTGTAATGAGAGTTGAGCTCTGAGAGAAGCTTTTCCCGCACTCCCAGCATTCATAGGGTTTCTCTCCCGTGTGGACTCTCTGATGAGAGATAAGGGATGAGAGATCAGTGAAGCTTTTCCCGCACTCACAGCATGCATAGCGTTTCTCCCCTGTGTGGATTCTCTGATGTGTAAGAAGGTGAGCGCGCCGAATGAAGGTTTTCCCGCACTCACAGCATACATAGGGTCTGTCTCCTCTGTGTATTCTCTGATGTGCAAGAAGGACTGAGTGGTCCCTAAAGCTTTTCCCACACTCAGTGGATGTATTTTTTCTCTGACCCCTGAGGATTTTCTGCTGGGCTGTGGTTTCCTTGAGGTCCTTGTGAGTTCCCCGAGAGCAAATGAATTTATCCAATTTCTCCCCTGGCTGGTTTCCCTGCTCTCTCTCTGGTGTCTGCTGAATCTCACAGGCTGTTCCCTGCTCATGACTCCTGGAGACATTCCCTTCGGATGTCTGTGTTAATGCTCTGTGTGGTTCCACTTGCTCAGCATCTTTCTGCGGAGAATTCTGCTCCTCATTCTCACTCACCATTGCATCACCTGCTGTGATAGAAAAAAAAACCCTCAAACAGGGATGGAAAGGGAAAGACCAAACCAGAATAAGTGCTGGAGAAATGTCAAATAAAAACCAGGAACTGAATTACCCCAAACTCTTCCCCTAAAGGGGAGAGAGGACAGGATCAATTCTGCCTTCACATCCCATCTAAATTCTCAGTGGGAACGGAAGTAGCTACTCACAGGTGTCAGTTAGGATCTGTAGGAAGCCATGAGCTATATCTGCCCGGAGGATACAACATTTGCTGGGGCAATCCTAAAATCAGAGAGTTCACAAGGTCTTTGTAGGGTATCCTAGATGTTTCCTTCAGGCATTTTCAGACTCCGAGTAGGTTTCATGTTTCCTCACCTGTGCAGGGACCTCTCAGGATCTCTCTTTCCCCTGAACCCTGGAGGTCTGGGACCCACGGCTCTGCCCCTTGTTCCAGCTGGGAGATCACATCAGGTTTGGAAACTGGAAAGCCTGCTCAGATGAAAGAAAATAAAGGAGATCAGGTGACTCCATAAGACTTTGTCATAAAAAACATTCTCTTAGCTTAACCCCAGTCCTTAGTAAACAAGTGAAATCCCAGGGCCAGCTCCCCAGGTCCTCAAAGGTGCAGAACACTTTGCTTATGAGAGACTGAACTACCAACATATCTGCTAGGAACCCACACAGACGCTGTGATAGTCTGTACCCCTGTATTCACTCTTTTACAAAATGATATATTTTGTCCGAAGTATGCCTTGTGAGGTATCATTGGAAAACTCAAAAACCTGCTCAACATTAACTATGTGAAGTTATGAGACTTTACTGTATGATGTTACTGAAAATGTTACAGTTCTGGGGAACACCCACAGACCACTTCCTCAGAGACAGCACGGCTATTGCCTGGTTAAATGGTGTGAACAAGACATTTACATTCCATCACAGGGATGGCTAGAACCTCATGTCCACAACAGACAGCCTGTCACCATGACTCAGCTGAGAATTGAAAGCGTTTCTAGCACAAAGGACTGAATTACAGTAACTCCTCATTTGAAGTCGTCCCGGCTAACGTTGTTTCGTTGTTACGTTGCTGATCAATTAGGGAACATGCTCATTTAAAGTTGTGCAATGCTCCCTTCTAACGTCGTTTGGCTGCCTGCTTTCTCCACAGCTAGCAGCCTCCCTAGGCCCCCCTCCCCACAGCGCCTCCCGTCTGCCGGCAGACCCCACGGATCAGTGCCTTCCTCCTCCTTACCTGCCTCCTGCCCGCGGCAATCAGCTGGCTTGCGGCATTTAGGGAGCAGGAGGGAGGGGGGAGGAGCAAGGCACAGGCTCCCCCTCCCTCCCCTGACTCCTGAACGCCGCAAGCCTGCTGATTGTCCCAGTTAGTTTGGACTTGTCTATGCTACCAAGTTATGACAACAAAAGCGATGCTGACACTCAAAAATCGGCATAATAAAAGTTGGAATGTCATGTTCGCACTAGCTCCCTCTGTCGGCAGAGCGCGTCCACAATTGGGGCACTATCATCAACAGTGTGAGCAATGCACTGTGGGTACTTATCCCACAGTTCATCTCCTTGTCATCTTCTGTCACTACGTGTTGTGGGAAAGCGGAGTGGATCGCGGCGTCTCTTGGGACTGGGCTCAATGCATTGCTTTCTGTGCCAGCACTCCATGGGCTTCCGGCTTGCTTTCACAGCATTTTTCAACGGTCCTTCTTTGCTGTGCACATCTTTGTGAGAAGGGATGGATCCCGCACTGCTCTCCTATGCTCTGTTAACTGTCATCATGACTGGCAGTTCAGTTAATCGTGAAGTTCCTAACTGAAGAAGACTCTCAGGCACCTGACATGCTGCATGATATGGATAGGAGCAACTTTAGATTGCTTTTGGCATTCACAGAACAGCTGCATAGGGTAGACCATCGCTTTTGGGCTCAGGAAACAAGCACCGAATAGTAGGATTGTATCGTCATGCGGGTGTGGAATGAAGAACAGTGGCTAGAGAACTTTCGAATGCGGAAAGCCATCTTCCTGGAAGCGTGTGCGGAGCTCGTCCCAGACCTGCGGCGCAAGGACATCAGAATGAGAGCTGCCGTATTAGTAGAGAAGTGTGTGGCAATCGCTGTGTGGAAGCTGGCGACACCAGACTGCTACCGGTCGGTCAGAAATCAGTTTGGAGTCGGGAAGTCGACCGTTGGGGCTGCATTAATGGAAGTGTGCAGGGCAATTAATTGCATCTTGCTGCGAAGGACCGGGTTCGTGACTCTGGGAAATGTGCATGAAATAGGGAAACCCATTTCTGCAAAGCCATCCACTAACTGTAGAGAGGCGATAGATGGCACACATATTCCAGTTTTGGCACCAGACCACCTTGCGACAGAGTACATCTATAGGAAGGGGTGTATGGGGTTGTCAGGGAGGGGTAGTACCTCTGATGGGGGAGCAGTCGTACTCCTAGGAGTAGCTCATCCACTTTGGTCCCCACTTGACACCCAGCTCTCACCGGTGGCTCCAAGTAGCTGTCAGCATGCGACAGCAGCCACACCCCGGAGACAATCTCAACTGGCGGGCTAAACCAGGTGAGGGTAGCCGATGAGTATGAGACTCTCGGTGAGTTAGGGCCTGTCTACCCATTGCATGCGAAGGCTGGATCCGGCTGACTGAGGCAACCTGGTTCAACCTGGTTTAATGGTCAGGAAGGCGGTGACAGCAAGCGTTGTGGAACGCGTAAGAGCACGACAAGACACGTAGGCGTCCTGGTCATCCACTGCGCCCTGTCCTATCTCCAGCCGTCTCGACTTCTGTCCTGCCACTGGATACAGATAGGAACTGGGAAGAGAGAGTGAGGCTGACGTTGTACAACTCTCCCTCACTCTAATCCAATTCACGCGCAAGTCTCGACATCATATCATATCATATCATATCAAGGCCTGTGGCGATGGGCGAGCGACAAAGCAGCAGGTGTGGATACACTGGGAGCTGTAGCCGCGGACCTGCACATAGGCGGCTCAGGCATAATGGTTGTTCCTCACTGACCGAAGCAGCAGTGGAGCTCGGCATCTTCTTGAGCGACTGAGCAGCCCTATTCAGGATTAGCACTGCTCACCTCCGTAGAACGAGGAGGGGGCTAGAAAAGGTGCCCTAAACATTGCCTGCTTCACCTTACCCTGGCCAGCACACCGCGGCTGGCGGGGATCCCATAAAAGCGGTCGAAAACAAAAACAAAAAAAACTTAGAGTGACACCGATCACTATTAGCACATGGAATGTGCGCACATTACTGGACAACATCACGGCAGACAGACCGGAGAGAAGAACAGCACTTGTCGCTAGAGAGCTCGCACGCTACAACATTGACATTGCAGCCCTTAGCGAAACTCGCCTTGCTAATGAAGGACAGCTGTCCGAGTCAGGCGGTGGCTATACATTCTTCTGGAGTGGCCGCAGCAGTGATGAGCATCGCGAGTCTGGAGTTGGCTTCGCCATCCAGAATCATCTTGTTCAGAAACTTGCCAGTTCCCCCAAGGGTATGAATGACCGGCTCATGACAATGCAGCTTCCGCTTCAAAAAGGAAAACAAGCTACTTTGATTAGCGCATATGGTCCTACAATGACCAACCCAGAGGATGTGAAGGATAAATTCTATGAAGAACTAGATACTCTGCTATCGTCAGTGCACCGCACAGACAAGCTGATTCTGCTTGGCGATTTTAACGCAAGAGTCGGATGCGATGCCGCAGCCTGGGAAGGAGTCATCGGGAAAAATGGAGTGGGAAAGTGTAACAGCAATGGTCTGTTACTGCTGAAAACTTGTGCAGCACGTGACCTTCTGATCAGCAATACGGTCTTCCGCCTTCCTACCCGTAACAGGACTTTGTGGATGCATCCCCGTTCCAAGCACTGGCATTTGATCGATTATGTCATCATCAGGAGAAGGGACAGACAAGATGTCAGGGTTACAAAAGCTATGTGTGGCGCTGACTGTTGGACGGATCATAGGCTCATAGTATCCAAAATGAAGCTCCGTATCATGCCGAAGAGACGACCACAAGGCTGTAAGGCTTTCAAAAGGATCAATGTGTCGAAGCTGAAGAACAGCCGCATCACTGAAAATCTAGCGGAAGACCTAGAGAATGAACTTGCTGATCTTCATATTGAGGATGACGCTGAGAAAGACTGGGAGCGATTCCGCAACACTGTCCATACAGCTGCATCGAAGGTATTGGGGCCCTCCACATGCAGGCGGCAAGACTGGTTTGATGAAAATGATGCAGAAATCCAGGCCTTACTTGCTGAGAAGCACCGCCTGCATCGTGCATATCAAAACGATCCATCCTCAGCGGCAAAGAAGACCGCCTTTATCAACACTCGCAGAACAGTACAGAACCAACTGCGCAAAATGCGGGAATTGTGGCTGAGCGCCAAAGCAGATGAAATACAGGCATATGCGGACAGGAACGACTATAAGCAGTTTTATGAAGCCCTTAACACACTCTATGGTCCACAGTCTTCTGGGAGCTTTCCCCTCCTGAACTCTGATGGTACTGTGCTCCTTACAGAGAAGACGCAGATTCTCCAGAGATAGGCTGAACACTTTGAAGCAATTCTCAATCGCCCCTCGGTCATCAATGATGAGGCCATTGACAAGATGCCCCAGGTTGCAGTCAATGACTCCATAGATGCTTCACCAGAAGAGGACGAAGTGAAGAAAGCTATCAATCAGCTGTCAAGTGGCAAAGCCCCAGGGTCAGATGCCATACCAGCAGAGGTGTACAAAGTCGGTGGACCCGTGTTGCTACAGAAACTCACTGAGCTGTTTCAGTCCTTCTGGAAGCAGGGAACCATTCCACAAGAATTTAGAGACGCGTCCATCTTGCACCTCTATAAGAGGAAGGGCAATCGCCAGGTATGCGACAATCACCGTGGAATCTCGCTGCTTTCTACAGCGGGGAAAGTTCTTGCACGGGTTCTGTTGAACCGATTGATCACTCACCTGGAGAAGGGCTTACTGCCAGAATCACAGTGTGGCTTCCGCAAGGGACGTGGGACTATTGACATGATCTTCGCTGTGCGTCAGCTACAGGAGAAATGTCAAGAGCAGAATCGTGAACTCTACACAACTTTTGTGGACCTCACGAAAGCATTTGACTCTGTCAGTCGCCAGGGCCTGTGGAGGATCATGTCGAAATTTGGCTGTCCAGACAGATTTATACGAATGGTACGTCAATTTCATCACGGTATGATGGCTCGTGTCCTGGACGACGGTGAAACATCTGAGGCCTTCCCAGTCACCAACGGCATCAAGCAAGGGTGTGTTTTAGCACCCACTTTGTTCAGCATGATATTCTCTGCCACTTTGACTGATGCCTTTCAACACTGCACTGAAGGAGTAGGCCTGAAGTATAGAACTGACGGGAAACTATTTAATCTGAGGCGACTGCGTGCCATCACCAAGGTGAAGGAAACTGTACTTCGAGACTTTTTCTTTGCCAATGATTGTGCTCTGAATGCTAGTACAGAACCAGAAATGCAAGCCAGTATGGACAAGTTTTCAACTGCACGCAACAACTTCGGTCTCACCATTAACATCAAGAAGACTGAGGTCATGCACCAGCCAGCTCCCCACGCTTCGTACTCAGAACCGTCCATCACTGTAAATGGACAGAGACTTCAGACAGTGGACCACTTCACGTACCTGGGCAGTACCCTTTCCCGAGCAGTGTCAATCGATGATGAAGTAAACTGCAGAACTGCTAAAGCCAGCTCTGCATTTGGCTGATTGCGCTCCAATGTTTGGGAACGTTAAGGGATCAGCCTACCAACGAAGCTGAAGGTCTACCGAGCAGTGGTGCTTCCAACTCTGCTGTACGCCTGCGAGACGTGGACTGTCTATCGGAGTCATGCATGAAGGCTCAATCACTTCCACATTTCCTGTCTGCGAAAGCTTCTAAAATCAGATGGCAGGGCAAAGTGCCCGATAATGATGTCCTTACTAGAGCCAGTCTGCCGTCAGTTTACACATTGCTGATGAGAGCCCAGACCAGGTGGGCCGGACATGTTGTGAGAATGTCAGATGAATGCATTCCTAAACAGCTCTTCTACGGAGAACTCACTAGGGAAAGCGTTCCCATGGAGGACAAAAGAAGCGGTTCAAGGACACGCTGAAGACCTCTTTGAAGTCCTTCGAGAGCAACACCGCCACATGGGAAACCTTCGCACCGAACCGTTCAGCATGGCACAGCCTCATTCACACAGGCAGTAATACCTCTGAGGCGAGGTGTATTGCTGAGGCTGAAAAAAAGCATGAGCTGCGCAAGTCCAGAGCTGCTCGTACACCATCGACAGTGCCATTATATGTCTGCCCGACGTGTGACAGGACGTTCCACGCCCGAATCGGACTGATCAGTCATCTCCGGACGCACAGAGCCCGGTCATCGAAAGAATGAGTTGTTGAGGTTTTCATCGATAACGATGGACGAACATCATCAGGAAGGGGTACTGCTCCATGGTGTTGCAGGCATCTGTGGATCACCGTGAGCATTTCACTGACATCCACGTGGGGTAGTCCAGAAAGGTGCATGATACACACATTTTCAGGAGCACGGGCCTGTATAGAAAGCTACAAGCAGGGACTTTCTTTCCAAATCAAAAGATTACAGTGGGAGATGGTGAAATGCCTATAGTGATCCTGGGAGACCTGGCGTACCTCTTACAGCTGTGGCTCATAAAACTTTACACAGGAAACCTGAACAGCAGTAAGGAGCGGTTCAACAACAGGCTGAGTAGGTGCTGGATGACAGTTGAATGTGCCTTTGGCAGATTAAAGGCACGCTGGCGATGCCTTTATGGCAAGTCAGACCTTAATGAGGATAATATTCCCATGGTCATAGACGCGTGTTGTACGTTGCATAATCTTTGTGAAGCTAAGGGTGAAAGTTTTGCTCAGGGGTGGAGTGCTGAGGAAGACCACTTTGAAAATGAGAACCAGTAATGTATGTCTCTGTCAGAGATGCTTCAATGTTACTTTACATGTCATTTTCCTGAGAAGCAGTGGTGACATTTGGGGCCTTACATTCCAGCAAGCACATGAATAAGTAAGTATTGGTAGTGCCTGATGTCTCAATGTGTAGACTGTGCAAGTATTGGTAGTGCCTGATGTCTCAATGTGTAGAAAACAAATAAAGATGAGTTACCATTCAAAAACTTTACTTTTATTGCACAAGAAACAGCACACACAGACACACAAAGATGCTTGGTGGGAAAGGAGGAACCAGGGAAGGGCAGACTTTCAAACGTGTGTGTATGTCCAGGTATCATTGTGAAAGTTGTCGGAGGGGGTGGAGTGCAGGGGAAACAGAGAAGTCCTGGAAAGTGGAAAGAACTGTGTGGGCGGAGTTGGGTGTGTGTGTATGTGCATGGAAAAGGGTTCTGAATGTGCTGCGGGGAGGGCGGGCACAGATCTGCTGACTCTGCAGCATTATTAAGGACTTCAGCCTCTGTATTTGCACCTCCATTACTTTAATCATCCGTTCAGTAGCATCCTTAAACTCCTGATTTTCTTTTCCATTTTGCCTTTCAGCTTCCCAGCACTCCTTGCATTCCCTTTTCTCTGCATTGGAGCAGTGCAGTACCTCCTGAAACATGTCTTCTTTGCTCCGTCTTGGGCGCTTTCTTATTTGGTGGAGACACTCGGCTGGTGTGTGGGGGGTGTTCCTGAAGGCCACATCTGCCGAAGCACAAGGGACAATGCACAGATTGTTAAATTCACGTACAGCATTGACACGTTTCAGTTAAATACACCTTTTGCAACATAACAATCACTTTCTCACTGACCCTTGGCAAGCACACATCTCTGTGAACACCCAAAGCATGGTGAGTGTTTTCCACAGGCGGGTGTCATTCTAGCAGCTATCTCACTGCTAGGGGTAAGCAGAGAAATGAGGTGCGATGCTATATAGAATCTGGGGGACACTTGAGGATAGTATGAATACCAATAGTGTAAAATTGCAATGAGTTGTGCCAGATATGCCATGGAAGATTTCTGCACAAATGTTATAATTTGCCAGATATGATAATCTCATTTATGTGTTTGTATCACCTTTGTATTATGAGTTTAGATATGTACGTATGTCTGTATTTCAAAACTCGTGCTATGCTTCTGGGTGACACCCCCAGACAGTTTGGTATCAGCACTGCCTAGCCTGCTTGATGGCCCATTAAGGACCATCAGCTATACAACTGACCCATTGAGAGAAGGCAAGGGATACACCTTATGACTCAGCAAGGCATGCAGGGACATACCTATGGACGGAAAAGGCTTCCAAGCCATGTGCTGGGCAGCTTGTGTTTGAAACAAAGGAAGTACAAGCCACATGGCAAGTCTAAAAAAGGCAGCTGCATCTTCTCCATTTTGTCTTAAATCCTGCTTCTTATCTCTGGAGGAACTTTGCTACAAACTGAAGCTCTAAACAAAGGACTGAATGACCCATCCAAGCGGTGGAGGTGTTCCAGAGGAACTTTCAAGCCAGCAACACACCAATACTGCTAAGAACCTGATATATGGACTTTGAAATCTTTGTGTGTATGTGACTGTTTTACCAATATTTCTCTTCTTGCTCTGTTTCTTTATATTAAACCTTTAGTTTTAGATACTAAAGGATTGGCTGGCAGCGTGATATTTTGGGTAAGATCCAAACCTACACTGACTTGGTAATGTGGCTGACCCTTTGGGGTCAGAAGAATATTTTATATATGTGAGCAGAGTTTTTAAAATAACTTCTCACTGTACCAGACCTAGGTGCTGATTGGGAGCCTGAGAACTGGAATGCAATAAAGGGGGCTATGTGATTTCTTTTTTGCTTCTTGATAACCAGTGTGGGGAATCAGAAGCACAGTTTGTGACTGCTGGGGAGTTTAACTTCAGTGTTCCGCACCAGTCTTGGGAGTATCTGCGCTCCCTTTTGCAGCCTGCCCTGAACTTGGTATTTCCAGGGAGGGCTGCCCCAGGCACCACAGGTCACACGAGGGTACATCTGCTCCATGCTTGTGGCTTCCGCTCTGCTCACCTGTGCGCTGCTTCAGTCCCTGCACAAGTGACTGCCGAATGGCGCGGGAAAGTTTCCTACAATGAGGGAAGGAACAAAGCTGCTCTGTCAAGAAACCTTTGGCAGAGGATTACTGAATACCTCCAGGAGATCTCTCTGGAGGATTCCCGTGAGATCTCGGCATGCAGCAACACCCTGTTCTGCCGTACCAATTAGCTACACAGGAAAACGTCCAGCTCACAGAAACACAGCCAGCCTCCCACGTTTCTATAACCAGAACCCACCTCCGCACTACACAGGCCACAGCCACTTACCAGGGATCTTATCTCTTGCTTCTTGCTCCCCGAGAGCAACTGCTGAGACTGGTTAGACACCTCTGGAATGGAAAACAGTTCCTGGCTGTTTGCCCCACCGGGCGACCCTGCCGGGAGCTCCACATCCTCATCTAACTCCACCTCTTCATCGATTACTTCATCCTCTGGGTTAGATCCTCTTTCCACTGCCTCCAGGCCCGCCGAAGTATCCACGGGGCTCTTGGTGGTGGAGGTGGGGTCACCACTGAGGATAGCGCCCAGCTCCTTATAGAACCAGTAGGACTTAGGTGCAGCACCTGAGCGACGGTTTGCCTCCCTCGCCTTATGGTACGCCTGCCTCTGCTCCTTTATCTTTGCTCTGCACTGCAGCGTGTCCCGATCACAGCCCTTTTCGCACAAGCCTCAAGAAATGTGCCCGTAGGTATCCCAATTCCCACGTCTCAAGTGCATCTGGGACTGCACAGCCTCCTCTCCCCATATTCTGAGCAGAACCAGCAGCTCCGCAGGAGTCCAAGCGGGACAGCGTTTGCTGCAATAACCTACCCTGGTCACCTGGGAAGATGCGATGAGTCCTCTCCACGCCGAGCCAGCAGGAAATGGGATCTCAAAAATTCCCAGGACTTCTAAGAGGGAGGGGCAGATGGTCGTTTACCTGGCTGCAGGGCAGTGGAGTTCAAAATGCTGAGCAGAGCGGTCAGGATGGGCATTGTGGGACACCTCCTGGAGGCCAATTAAAGCGATAAATTCACTGCCACTTTGTTGACAAAAATGTAGAGGAAAAAGACATGTTTCTCATTGGGGTGGTTGTATTTTGTTGCCAAAACAGGGCATTTTTGCCGCCAAAAGTCACATTGCAGTGTGTACGCATTCATTCTTTTGTCGACAAAAGCTGGCAGGGGAGTAAGGGAGTGGGATCATTTTGCAATTCAGAGCTGTTTTGTGTGGAGTAGGATCAGTGTTTGAGTGAAGGCCACAGGTAGGAAGCCAGACCTGAACCCCAGTTTTGCCTCAGCAAAGAGAAGTTGTTAGACTTTGTGCTGTAGTTCTCCTGTGCTCTGTTCCTGCAGTGTTGTGTAGCAGGGGAGGGCAGAGTACTAGTGTGTGTGTGTCACTGGCATGTTGGGGTGATGCTGAAACAGGGCAGAGTTGAGATTGCATTGTGGGGGTGACAAACATTAACTGCTCATTTCCCCTTGTAATAACTATGGGGATGGGAATCCTTACCCAGCGAGGTCACATTCTCGTAGTTCTCCTGCATGACGGCTCTGTAGAGGGCTCTCTGAGTGGGGTCCAGCAGAGCCCCCTCTTCCCTGGTGAAATACACAGCCACCTCCTCGAAGGTCACCGGCCCCTGAAAGAGCAAGAGTCCAACACTCAGTACCTGCTGCCCCACTCACAGCCCCACTATTCATGGGGGAAAGGATCCAATCAAATGGGAACTCTGGATGGCTCACAGTCAACAAAGCTCCACCCCCACCCTGCTCAGAGCATCCAGGAACCACCAGGGTGAGGGGACAAAGAGAGCCCCTTGTCTCTCCCAGCAGATCCATCACACATACTAGCCACAGACTGATACAGGAGATGGAGCTCCTAGCAGGGTCCAGGACGAGCTCCCTCGTAGGAAGCCCAACACCCTCCTCATTGTAAGGAGCTGGATATGAGGGAGGGGCACTTCCCCTAAGTCTGACTGGTGGGTGCCCCCTTCATATCTCACAGCAGTCGCTGGTTAGTCGTGTCAGGCTCCAACACTGGGAGTCTGGTCAGTTTTCCTAGCCCCATCTAGGTGGGTTGTTTCCTGTTCCACAGATTAGGGCATTTCCACCACCAAATGCCATGGGTCTGTTCCTAGAATCTAGGCCACTTATTAAACTAGTCCTGGCAGGTTTGCCACAACCTGGCCTCCTCCCTTTCTCCAGCCTGTGAATTTCCTGCCCCACTCCAACCTCCAAACCAGACTGCACAAACCTTCCCACCTCCTGTGTATTTGCTGGTTTCAGAGCAGCAGCCGTGTTAGTCTGTATCCGCAAAAAGAACAGGAGTACTTGTGGCACTTTAGAGACTGACAAATTTATTTGAGCATAAGCTTTCATGGGCTACAGCCCACTTCTTCGGATCCCTCTTCCTCCTGCAGGAACCCACCAGCCACCCCGGTTAATCCCTACCTGAACTGACTCCACTGCAGCCATTTTTCTTCCCTGTCCCATGGGAGGACGGGATGAGCTGGAGCGAGATGTGGGCATCATTCTGCAGCCTGGCAGGGCAAGAAGGGCAGTTGTGGAGGTTTCAGAACAGGTTTTAGTTCATTTCACATCATGATTCCCCCAGGCCCTTTCCCTGCAGAGACACCCCAGATTCTGCCATGCTGGGAACATGCTTGATCGCTTTATTACAGTGTAGACCTGGCCCCACCTGCCAGTCTAAGCTCACAGAGACATTTTTAAACCTTTCCAGTAACAAAGTCTTTATTAGAAAAGAGCAGAACCAAAGGAGTCACTGTGGAGGATTCCCTCTGACACGGACACCATGGCAGCCACAGGCCAGCAGGGGGAATATGGAGTCCGGAACTGGCTTTTCCTCTCTCTGTTCCTCATTTTGTTTACAGGAAAGTGATTCCACCCAGGGGTGGCTACCTTCTCCCACTGCCCCTTTCAGTCTCTTTCCCGTGTCCCCCCTCCCTGCCCCGCGGGCTGGAAAAGTCCCATTCCCGGGTTCTTTGCTCTCCCATGGCTGGACTTGCTCCTGCAATTGCTAATGGGAGGAGAAATGAGGAGGGGCTATTTGTGCAGAGTCACTTTCATGCTAGTCCCCGGTGTAGTAGAAAGAGAAAGCCTGAGACAGGAGGCCTGGTGTAAGGCTTAAGGCCCAAACTAAAATCAAGCCCTGCTGATACAAAGCAAAGTTTGCAAGAGTCAGGCTATGAGCAAAAGTCTGGCCTGATTACAAAACAGATGCCTGCTTGCAAATTCACTGTCTGGTACTTGAACTTGACAAGAACAGGGCTGGCGTTGCACAAACACAAGCAGTCCCAGGCGCTAAGAAGTCACGTAAACACCTAGCAGAGGGGTAGTACCAGAGCACCCCGA